GAATCAGCATATGAAACAAGAAATTACTTTTTCTTAACCAGATGTAGCAAATTATCTCCCATATTTCAGACAAAAGTATTTATAAACAATATATGTATTGAATCAGTAAAGAAAACTATAATCATGATAATAGGCCGCCAAAAGAAACTTTGGGTTAGCCGGAAGTAGCTTCTTATAAATCATCTAGAAAATTTGATCTGGAAAGACCTTCAATTGTTCTCTGAACAATTGGTTTTTCATTATCATTTCGCCAAATTTGTTTCTTTCGTGTAAATTTTGTTTCGCAACATGTCGCCTTCATAATTGCTGTTAAACTGAACTTATTTCTTTGTAAGAGTTATTTTTCGATAACACTGTTGTTCTTGTGTGTGTATATCTTCTTCGCTAAGAAATCGACAAATTTATTTTTCCAAATTGCTCATTAAACCTCAGGATGCTTTAGTTAGTTTTAACAGAGGCAAGACTGAGTTCCATATGAGAGTTATTGCCCCTTTCGTATTTGACATAAGTGATATATGAATGTAACTCATGAACTGTGAGTAATAAAGACCTAGGGTATCTTGATTTGAGGTACTTAGTACACCAACAAGAAAATGATGTCAAGGTCAAAGGTCAATGTCATTTTCTAAATTTTGCCCTTTGCTTGTGTGTGCATCTTATCTTATACTATACAAGCTACATATAAAACAACTGATGCTAAATGATTTGGTTGTTGAGACAAATAAATGGTACATTTAGTCCGAGGCGATCTGACTATATCTTATAGGAGTTATTGCCCCTCACATGTTGAATTTAAGGTAGATCGAATATAACTTCATTCTGGTAAATGATAAAGCGATAGTGTCTTTTGCAAAGGGTTGGGTGACAAATGACCTTGAAAGAAAAATATTAACCGGGAGTGACCTTGTACAAACGGGAAGTTTTAATTTTTGGACTAATTCAAGGGAAAAATACATAGAAACTATATTATTTTAGAATCAGCATACACTAAAATTTTATTCACACCAGAAGTCACCTTCTGGAAGTAGCTTATTGTCTCCCTTATTTGAAAAAAAAAATAAAAAAACATATATTTTCGAAATTAGTGGAATATATGGTTTTAATGAAACCGAAAATGATATTTTCTTAAGCAAGAAGTAGCAAATCATCACCTTTGTTTAAACAAAAAGTACATAAAACCATATATATATGGAACCATTGCAAATAAAGCTATCATATGAGACTAGAACTGACATTTTCTTAACCGGAAGTAGCAAATTATCTTCCACATTTAAGTATATAGAAACCATATATTTTTTAATCAGTATGAAGAAATCTATGATTTGGACGCCAATAGCAACTTTGAAAAAACCGGAAGAAGCTTCTTATCAATTATTTAGAAATGTTATTTGGAAAGACCTTCAATTGTTCACTGAACATTTGGTTTATAATTATTTTTTTTTAAATTTATTTTCTCTTCCGTCAAATCTAGGAGTAACACATAAACCGATATCCGTATAAATCTAGAGTCTTTTAATTTGAGGTCCTTGGATCCTAACTTAGAAAATGAGGTTAAAGTCATGTTCTCAATTTTGAATTTTGCTTGCTGTTGCATTTTCTCTGACACTTTTAAAGATATATATAAAAGAACTAGTGCAAAATGTTTGCTGTTTTGTGACGAAGATATGATACATATGGTTTAAAATAATCTAATGACATCTTATAGGAGTTATTGCCCCTAAAATGTTTTAAGTTAAAGTTTATAGATTATTACGTCAACTTGGTTTAAGAAAGCCATAGGGTGTTTTGCATAATTTTGGGTGACATATGACCTTGAAAAAATGTCCACCGGAAGTGACCTTGAGTAAACCGAAAGTAGTCATTTTTGCACTTTTTTCATGGAAAAGTACATAGAAACCATATACTATTAAATAGGCATATAAAAACCTATCATTTGAGACTTGATATCATCTTCAATAAACCGGAAGTAGCTGATTATAATAGGCAAAGGTATATAGAAACAATATATTTTTTGAATCTCTGTGAATAAAGCTATCATATAAGAACAGAAGTGACATTTTCAAAACCGGAATAAAGCAAATTATCTACCTTATGGTATCTCAGACAAAAGTATATAGAAAACCTATGTGTTTTAATCAGTATGCACAAACCTGTCATTGAAAGTCAAAAGTACATTTGAGTAAATGGAAGTAGTTTCGTATCAATAACTTAGAAAATTGATGTGAAAAGACTTTCAATTGTTCTCTCTGAACAATTGTTTTTTAATTATTATTTTTTTTCTTCCGCCATATTGTGTTCCTGTGCAAAATTATTGTTTCGCAATATGTCACTTAGATATTTCTTATATTGTATCTTACAGGTTTAGCGCTTTTAAATTTAAGTCGAACAATTTTGTCTGTATGAGTAATCTCCCTAAAAACTGTTTATCTTGTGCGTGCATCTCCTTCGTAACACAAAAAAAAAGACATCGATCAAACTCTTTTTCTAAATTGTGTGTTATATCTTCTTGAAGCTTTGGTAATTTTAGAGCGATGCAATCCGGTGACATTTTACAGGAGTTACATGTATCTACCCATTAAGTTATCAGTGTGTCAGCATAAACCGTACGCCGTAAATACCTACGGTCTTTTGATTTGAGATCATTCAGTCATAACTTTGAAAATGAGGTCAACGTCAAAGGTCAAGGTCATATTCTAATTGTTGCTTTATTTGTGCGTTCATTTCCTCTCAAAATAATGAAGCTAGGTACAAAAGAACTTATGCAAAATGGTTGGGTTGTTAAAAGAAAGAAATTGATTCATTTGGTTCAAAGCTGTCTGATGACATCTTACAAAAGTTATAGCTCCTGATATGGTAAAATTTAAGGCTTATTGATAATAACTTCATAGTGTTTCATTATAAACCTATCGGGTCTTATGCAAAGGATTCGGTGACTCATTACCTTTAAAAAATGTCAACCGGAATGACCTTGTGCAAAACGGAAGTAGCTATTTTTGCTCTGACTCAAGGAAAAAGGGCTTATATACTAAGCATTTTTTGGAATCAGCATACAGTTACTTATAAAATGACACCAGACATTACCTATTGTTAACAGAAGTTGCTAATTATCTTCCTTATTTTAAGGAAAAGTACATAGAAAACATGTAAAGTAAGCTACATTTTGGCACTGTAAACCGGTAGAAGCTTATTATTTCCCTACTAGAAGTGAAAGTACATTAAAACCATATATTTTAGATTCACCGTAAAATAATCTTTCAAATGAAACCGGAAGTGACATGTTCTTAACCAGAATTAGCTAATCATATATCTTATTTGACAAAAAGGCTTTAGCAATCATTTATCTAAAAAAAATTAGTACAACATATCCTTTTAAATGACATTGGAAGTGAAATTTTCTAGACCGCAAGTAGCTTATAATCTCCCTTACTTCAAGTGCAAGTAAATAGAAACCATATACTTTGGAATTGGTGTTTAGTTTATACCAATAGTGTTTATTTTTACCTTGTTTATTTAAGATCAAAAACACTTAGTCTAATCTTATGTGGAAAAACCTTCAATTGTCTGAACAATTGGTTTTTAATTTTCTTCTCTTCCGATCCGATAAAATTACTGCAAATGATTGTGCACTACTTTTTGTGTAGATGCTAAACATTCACTTTAATAATAAGTCTGCAGTGCAGTGAAATCTTATTCATAACATTTAGTGTATGTGAAGTCATATTCTATGAAACGAAGAAGAGAAATGAGTATTATTTTCACTTTACGAGAGTATATAAATATGCAGGTGAACATGGATATTGTTTCTCTATATTTTCGAGGAAAGTGAAGTCAATAATGTCTGTTTTAACCGACAGAATCGTAATGCGATAAAAATCAATACAAATAATATAATTTTTACTTATAACTATACTTATACTTCATTTCCGAACACTGTTACAACACTAGTTTAAATATGCTGTCTGGAACAAGTCTAGCTTGCAATAATTCAACAACGGTTATCCAATCTATCATTTATGAGTATACAGACAATTAAGTTTAATAGCTATTTTAGTTTATTCTAGATAGCGTGTTTGTTGGATTAGCGCCTTTTCAGCGACGTTGGCGTCGGTTTCAATTTTATTGTAAGGTAAAACTAGAGTACTTGAAACATATAATCGACATTTGAAATGGGACTTGACAGTTGAGATCGGAGTCGAAAATACCTTTGGTACGAATAGGCTTCGAAATAATAAGCTTAGTGCTGACATGTCAGTGATCACTAAAGACGAACGACATAAAAAACTTTGTCACTTTTTTTTATTGAAAGACTATATGTTTCTCAATAATTTATGGTTGTGAGTTTGATGCCCGCACTAATCAGGTGCGTTCAATTCTGATCCTGATTGATTATGATTTCTAGTTTTTCTGCAAAAAGTTCTTTGTTTCTCGTCTTTTGTTGCAGCTTTCTCCTTAATATTACAAAGTATGCGGAAAATAAAATTTAAAAAACATATTCCGATAAGAATAAAAACCCTATTTGATAATAAAGCGACCCTCAGCAGAACGCTGGATTTCCACAAATATTTTAAGCTTTGAACGAATTTCAACAGTACAACTCATAGCGAATGAAATCAATCTGCAGTATAACACATAGTCGATGTTTTGGTGCTTTAAAAAAAGAAAACAAAAACAGAAGGCACCCAAAAGCAAAAAAAAAAAAAAAAAGGAAATACAAACAACCACACAAAACAAAACAAAACACAACAAACAAAAACAACAAATTAAACAAACAAACAAATACTACAACAAATCATGAATGCCGATGTTAAACGATATTTTATACAATTATATTAATGCGTTTATGTGCTTGATTAACGAAACATAATTATTTCAAATGGTATGTCTCTGCTTTATATTTGTTAACATATCCAGTGTGAATAATTCTTTAATATTCATGATGTATTATATTCTATATTTACAATGTACTAGTTAAAAATGATATTTGAACATTACTTTTTCAGGGCATGAACATCAAATACAAGCCATGGATTGTTTACCATTTGAAAATGTGTTCGGACTTAAATGAGAATGTCATAGTTTGAAAATCAATCTATAAGGTTTTCAATTCAACTTCCAATCATCAAGAAACATGGTGGACTTGCTTGTCATTGTGTTCTATGGTCATTTTTTTGTCTTTTTGTCCTTTGTGTTTGCCTGTGTGCTTTGTCTGTAGAGTGTTTTTTTGCCATTTCGTATTTCTTTTTTGACATAGTTGTTTGCTTTTAAGGGATTAAGATTATATCTCAATGTTGACTGCTGTACCACAATGTTTGACAACTTACCTATTATGTCTATTTGTTTTGTTCACATATCATTGTCAATATAATGGAAATTTATGCAACTGTCATTCATGTGAGAGGTTTAACTAGCTATAAACCCAGATTTAATCCACCATTTTTCTAAAAAAGGAAATGTTTGTACTGAAGTTGAGTAACTTATTTGTTTAATAAAGAATTGGAACAATGTTATGAAATTGAAAGGTGTGGTAAATTGGTACATGTCACTGCAACCAAAACTGGCACATCTAGATAAAGTTCCCAGTATTAACAAACAACTTCCCCACTGGAAGCTTTATTTCCAATACTGATGCAAGTTTTTATTGAAAAATAACAATAGATATAGAAATTGTATGCATATACTTTTTGTTGTAGAGAACTGAAACTCGTTTGGGGTGGAGACTTGTGAAATTTAGATGTATGTCCTTTGGATAAGTTTAACAAAGAATTAACTCAAAGCAATGTGTCAAACCCATGATAAAGATAAATATATTATATACAAAGAAAGTTCAAATTATGCTTAAAATTGCATTTATTTATGTTTTTGTGCAACCGAAACCTAAAATTGTACTGATCATGAAAATAATATTATAGTAGTTAGTTTTTTCACTAACCTATAACGTTAAAATTAATTACCATTTTATATTCGTACCCATTAAAATATGAATAACACAACTTAATTCGATCACTAAAGTTTTAAATACATCTTATGTTGGAACGATTTAATGCTGAAAGAATGCCTTTAATACTTCATCTGCGACTGCAACAAAGTTATAATTGAAATAATTTATTATTTAATGATTTTTTTTTATCTTATACATATTAAAATCACTCAATGTATGTTAACTTATTTTCTTAAACGTGTCTAAGATACAAGATGTTGAAATCGGTAGTATTAATTGTAAAATAGACATAAATGAAATTCAGAATAGTCATCATTTTGGTTTTGAAACAAGCAGCAATTGTTAATATAAATTGTACTTAAGGACCTTGCCAATCTCCAACTTGACCGCTAAAACATTATCTCCTTGTTTCCAAATATGTATTTAAATCATGTATTTATATTTAATAAACATTACGCCTATTCTGTACTTTTTTATGTGGTGTGTTCACGTTTCTCCAACATTTGCTAATTTGGTATACATGCATATATTTTCCTGTTCGGGAAACATTATTATCATTAATAAAGTTGTCTGTAATTGGAGTTATACCGTCTGTAATTGGAGTTATACCGTCTGAAATTGGAGTTATATCGTGAACCCAGTGCAAATTATTTTCTTCAATTATGGTGAAGTCAACAAACGATCTTACAGAAGAAAGAAAGGTATAAAAAAAATCAACCGTGACCTTCAATGAACAAAAAGACAGGATTTACTAAATATCATTATTAGTCTATCAGAATGACAAAATTTTTGAAAATACTAATGGACAAACTGCACTATAGAAATATAAATTAAGTACAAATCTTTTAAATACAAACACAATAATATAATGAACAAATAAATGTGGACTGGAATACTTCTTTAAATAAAGAATTACCGGGAAGTTATTATAAAGCACACTATGGTACGATGTTGGTTCATTTCATATTATAAATATTCATGTGATTTCAGTTGTACGACTTTGCCCCCGCCAGAGCTATAGAAAAACAGTTCTTTAACGGGTGTTACCCGGACACTTTTTAGATGATACACGGACACTTTTTAGTTGTTACACGAACACTTTTTATGAATAGAATCACTCCTGCGTGATAAGTGATTTTATGGGCACTTTAAATTTCAATTAGATTTGAACTTTTTGTTTCACTGACATATTTCCTGTCTTTTTTCTTAAAATATTTACGTTGGCATTAATAACTATATTTTTTTTTCAAACAATTCCAGTATATCACTATTCATATCAGTACACTAAGGGATTGACCATTTAACTTCAAAAGGGGAGTTATGATTTTATCCTAAAAAATATTCTGATCCGCTATTTTACGAGAAAAAATATATTGTGGTGAAGCAGATGACAAAATAATTTTCTGATTCCTGATTTTCCGAATACCGTATAAAATAGTGCTAATTTCGAAAAAAAAAAATATTTGGGTGATAGCGTTGAAAAACTAAATAATTTTCTTACTCAGAAAAAGACATACCCCCCCTTTTGAAGCTAAATGGTCGGTCCGTAAATGTATTTTTGTCAATGTATGGACATGAATAGTATTCTAGACAATGCTGAAAGTAAAGAAATGCTGGTACCGATGTTTATATTTCAATAAAAAAGACAGGATATCTATTTGCAAAAATCAAATCTAATCAAAAGATAAATACCCAATCATTTCACCAATACACGATTGATCCTACAAATAAAAAGTGTCCGTGTAATACATGTTCAAATATGCAGCAAATCTTAAAGAAAATCATTCAACTTATGTCATCAATTTTGGACGGTAAGCTGCGATTAGATCATATTGTGACACGTGTTTAATCCTGATCAACACTATCAGAGACATATAAAAACCTATAAGCATGAAATTTGTTTTTTTAAATCCAAAATATATGCCTATATATATCTAATAACAAGACAAAATCCATTTTTTCATAACATTTCATTCACAAATGGAATAGGAAAAGCATTCTTTTGACACATTTATATTGTTATTGAATTCATATATATTGAGTTGATATATTTGGGAGCAAACGTACGATTTCTATTATTTTTTAATCATACATTACTTTCTTGCGAAATTGCATTTTAAAAAGTCTCAAATGTGTACGACATTCATCTTTCATTTGACATGGTTCTTTTTATAAAATTATTAGATTCTTGAATTTCTTGAGAAAAAAACTCTCGGCTAAAGGGAAGGGAAAATAAGTTGATTTAAACTGTATCTTACATTAACTGGTATATGGCCATTTAAGTTTCTAATCTGTTTAATTTTGCTACCTCTTCTAAATGCAAAATGTACTACTTCTTTTTTAAAACGTCGTACAAGTCAGATACAAAACAAAGGTAACCAAAAATTAGGTCGGAAACAAACTGCCGTATAGTTCTTCTGCACTTGTAGTCAGGTCAAGGTCCTCGGTTATCGCCTCGGACAATCACTTGACTACTCGTGCAGAAAAAACTATTCGGCAACAGTTGTTACCGGCCTGTTTCTTTGTTACTTTTGTATTGAATCTAATACTTGATATACCTGCTAAAAAAGTTCTACCGTTATTTTAATGATGCATTGATTACTGTTCTCGAAAAATACATTCAATTTCAATCAGGAATGTTTTGAACATTTGATTAATATGTTTTCAAATATATGAGCTTGTTACTATAGATATATAATTGCCTTCCCAGCGTATACACGTTTGGTTTATATGAAATTCAAAAGAGGGACATTGTCATTTTTGTCCTTAACCTCATTCCGTCTTCAATTTTTCTGAATTTATTTATGATTTGGCCTATATTATAAGAATATAACATGTATAATATGAAATTTACATTATGAATCATTACACTATACCTTCTAAAAGACCAAGCCCATCAGTTGTTTGACACTTGTTGAATAAACGTGAATTACATGTTTTAAATGTTTGAGAACTGTAAATAAGCAGTTGATCTCAGGCTTCTTAAGTAATTTGGTTGAATTGTTCAGCATCTCATGAGGTGCCTTAAGACAAGGAGTTATGATATTTTAAATGTTTCATGTTCAACTCACGTCTATTGTATCATTGTAACTCTGTATGTGAAAAATTAGTAAACAACAATAGCCTTTAGCGACATATTTTTTTACAGGACGTTAAATTCATACATTATAGTGCCGCAAGTAAAAAACACATACTTTTATTCATTCTAATCAGCCTATATCTCCACTTTATTTGATCTTTGGTGGAGAATTTTCTTCATACCACGTCTCCTTATCATTATATAATACAAATAATGAGTTAGGATTTTTTTTTCCAAATCAAAATGGAAATAATAATTGAGAAGCATAACTTGGACGGATTGAACGGTACACATTGCTTGTAGTATTTCTAGGTTTTTTAAAATAGATAATGTTTGAAAACATATGAAACATCTTTTTTATAATATCGACCACATGTAAAAGCAATTATTCTGATTTCGAAAAAAAGACCATCCGAGGTTATTACGATAAAGGAGCAGTCTAACCTGGATTTAAATCCATCTGGCTTAAACAAATCACCTTACAATTAATGTTTGCTTATTTTCTGCTTAGTTCAGAACATCAATGGATAGGAGCGAATATAATGATAGGTAGGGGACATATTAGTTTAATTTGTTTAATTTGTTTAATTTAGTATTTTGTTTTTGCATTAATGACATAATGTGTACTTTACAAATGTATCAACTGTATCAAACTCGTTTTTACTTATTTTTGATAGATAATTCAAATTTAAAGGCGGTTTCTTTATAAAAGGAAATTGGTGTTACCATTAATCATATGTTAATCGTATACTAATTTCGTGATATTGGTTGACTTTAGCCCTGTTAGTCCCAAATTAATCCCATTTTCATACATTGAAAACCCTATTTTTTTCGAGGTAAAATGTATATTTTCTATATACTTATGATATAATACAAATTCCTCACTAAGCAGAGGCGGATCCAGGGGTTGGTAACCCGGTGCCGATGATCACCCCCTGGGTTTGCAAAAATGGTGCACCATGTACCAAAAAAAAATGTGCACCTTGAACATTTTGAAAAATAAATTCTTTGATTAAATCAATTTGTCTATCGTAATCACCAGTCATAAAGTTGTCATTACTTACCTTAAGGCGAAATACATGTACCTTGACATGTATGTTT